ATTTCTTTACCGGATGGTTACCGGTCATGAGTTAAAAGTTGCACCACTGTGGCAGATGCTGAGCGATGCACACGACACCAATACCATTCAATTTGCTTTGAGTCTACCTATCTCTCTTGGTGCTCCTATTCCAGATGATGCTTCGACGGATGGTTCTCTAGCTATGTTGAATGGTGTATGCATATCGTTCAATGATTGCCCTTACAAAGTCTATTTAGACATTAGCCATAGAATATTAATGGGTGAAAGCTTGCAATCAAAACCATGTCGTTTGACAATGGACAGAGCTCATATCATGAAAAGTCCTGGAAAATGGAAATGTTTTATCGGTAAAGATTTTGAGGTAAGAGACTTTTACAAAAGATGCATTGGGTACTCAATCACACTGCAATCTGTTGCCGTTCTGGAAGATGTTCTTTTATCGATATTTATAATTGCACTGAGTACACATTGTACAGAAAATTCAGAGTGTTCACTGCAAAAAACAAGATTAAAAAATAGAATCAAAACATTTAATCAAGATGAATACGTTAAGAACGATTGTCCTGCCGGTATGCATAACATTAGTTATGCAGATATTGAAGATAATCAAGACCCAACATTAGATATTTTGAAAAACAATGCAGTTAAAGATTTTGTTACAACGATCCAGAAGAAAGCATTGACAATGCTCGATAACCAAACAGGAGTTAGGGCAATGGTGAACTCTTTGTACATTCCAAGCATTGTGAACAATATCATATACTTATACAGCCAGTATCCAGCATGGACAGATTGTTTACAACCCCTCTACAATACAGTTTCAAATCCAGCTACTTCAGCAAGATCAGAAGAAGCCTTCAAAGATGATAAAAGTAATCATTATATCAACTACCCTATCAGTGCGAATAGATGCATTTTGAGCCTACTAATATCAATTAATGGAAGAGTGAAACTCGTTAAAGCTGCTCTAAAAAACTCTCAGTTGATAAAACTTAACGACACCGAGCAAAAGAATCAAAAACAGTCGGTAACAATAAAGAAAAAAACATTGGTTAAATCATCGGTAGAATCTGTTTCAATTGCAATTCAATCAGAATCAATGTTACCCCATATCAACGTTCGTGAGTCTAAAGTACAAGTTGTAACTACAACGGAAACACTTGCAACGGAACAAGTGTCAGTCAATAATGACATGCATTTGAACGAGCTTACTTGTCTTATTCAAAATGGAACAATTTGTGATGCAGTTTTATGTGAAACAAAAACAAGGAAATTCATCAATACATGCGCCTTTGACAGTACTTCAGAAATTGTTATTTGTTCGGCAAGAATTGATAGTGTAAATAAATTCATATCTGAAGGGAATACATGTGAATATTTGAAAGCTCTTCTCAGTTTCAACAATGGCGTATCTCTGTTAGATGATTTGTATAAAAAGAGAGCCAATATATTGTACCCCATAGTCATCAATTCAATTTACAATCGAAACCAAAAGGATCCGACAAAATTTGATGAAAGTCGTATTGACTGTCAGATCAATGTTATAGATTTAGTACAGTCTCTACTAAAAAGCAACAAAACTTATTTAATAACATCTAATAAAGAATGTGATGGATGTGGATACAGAAATAGACCCAAACACTTCAATACTTTTGTGTTTCCTTTTAGAGAGATTCCAAAAATTATAAACAGAAAAAATGGAATGCAAAATCTTCAAGAATGCTTAAATGATATTTTTGATGAACCTGAGTTAGGAGACTGTCCAGGATGTCACAACATGACGAAAAAGCTAATTTATAATATTGGAGATATTCTATTTCTTGAAACAGAATTCATATTTACTAGCCCAGACATACAGCACACTATCGACAGTTCATGCCCTGAGTCCATTTTCATACGCTCTAGCAGGTATCAACTAATAGGCGTTGTGGAAATCGAAAAAATCAGCGAAACTATGAACCATTACAGAGCATACTGCCTCACGAACAATAGATGGATCAGGAAAGATGATTTATCTGCATCGGCGAAATACATTGATAACCTGCCGGACAATATCAAACTAGCAATGGTCGTTTATGCAAAGGCGAATGAGCAGATGCAGGAAAATTGAAGTGAAGAAGTGTAAGTAAATTAATCTTGAAAGAAAATTGTCGTACACAATTTAGTTGACGCTGGTTTCTCTTTCAGTTATCAAGCAGCGACTGATGAATTGACTAAGTTGATTTTTGTCACCAGCAACTGCAAAAAAACAACCATGAGTAAGCCTAGATTTAATAAGCAGGACGCTATTTACAAAATGAATAGCACCATAAAAATCCTGCTGCTGCGTAGCCTTGGTGTAACAGCTCTGACTGCCTTGGAATTCCTTTGTCCATTACCTTGACGTTGTTGATTAGCCAATGTAAAAATACTTTTTATGTGTTATAACCTATAATTCTTTTTTTTTCGTTTTCTTTTCTTGTTGTAGGAAATTTTATGTTGTGGGAATTCTAGAAAAGATTTTTCGTGAACAATAATAAATTGGCTGTAGATCTTAGAGAAATCTAAGATTCAGGCACGAATCTGTGTAAAGCACTGGTTAAAATAAGTAAGGAACTCTGCAGTCCTTGTGGTAAATGCCTTTGAAGCCATGTACCTTTATATTGTTCAATAAGGGCCAACATCTTATTGGCGATATCAGTTCTAAAAGTGGGCGGTAAATTACTTACTCCTAGATTTATAACAGCTAATCCCATATTGCTATTAGGATTAATACCAAGCCCAATAAGGGTTTTACCAATTTTGCACGCAGTTAACATTAGATCGGTTGTTAATTGCAATTCTTGTATCTCCATGGGAGCAAATTTTGACGTTGGAGTTGACTCGAATAGTGTGTGAGATGCTCGTTTTATTTGCTTTGTTGCTTTCTGAAAATTTACAAATGAGAACAATAAATGCCAATTCATAAAAAGTGAGCATTGGACAATCAAACTGTTACTTACCAAGAACAAATCAGTTGAAAGATACTCCAAATTAACATTATCTGGATCTGTTAATAATCTGTACAAAGTTGAACCTTGATTATCAGGTATTTGTTGAAGATTATCACCACTCTGATTTTTACTCAAAGTTAAAACTTCTGTATCAACTCTGCCCAGTTCAAGTATTGCACTGCCAATTTTGTACTCCATATCATAAAACACATGTACATCAAGTATTGTAGCAAGTGACCTGTGTATATATAAAGATGAAATTAAGAAACCGTTATACTACTAATTAGTTTTTAATAAAAATCAATTGATTACCTTTTATTGCTTCTGCCCGTTGATTCATGAATATCATAAAAGTTGAGAGATGGTTCTATATCAATGTCAGTATGTGGATTCCAGGACAATCCAGCAGCTATAAGATATCCAACCCAGGCAAAAATATGTGAAGTTAAATGATGGCTGCCCGACCAATGAGCCACTATGATACCAATGGAGTCTTGCTCTTGGGCAGTTTTTATTGCTTTTTTTGTGTTTGCATAAGTTGAAGCAGGACATCCTGCTAAACTATTGTAACTTGCTGTTCCTGAACTTGGTAAAATATTTGCACCTGCTATTCTAAAAGCTTCGGTCCACTCAGAAAACTCATAGTCTGCCTATAAACATTGAGGAAACGAATGGAATCTTTATTTTTACAAATATTCTTATTTGCTGGAAAGTATTTCTCACCTGAAATCCATATTCAACAAGTATCTTGAAAGAAAATTGTCGTACACAATTTAGTTGACGCTGGTTTCTCTTTCAGTTATCAAGCAGCGACTGATGAATTGACTAAGTTGATTTTTGTCACCAGCAACTGCAAAAAAACAACCATGAGTAAGCCTAGATTTAATAAGCAGGACGCTATTTACAAAATGAATAGCACCATAAAAATCCTGCTGCTGCGTAGCCTTGGTGTAACAGCTCTGACTGCCTTGGAATTCCTTTGTCCATTACCTTGACGTTGTTGATTAGCTAATGTAAAAATACTTTTTATGTGTTATAACCTATAATTCTTTTTTTTCCGTTTTCTTTTCTTGTTGTAGGAAATTTTATGTTGTGGGAATTCTAGAAAAGATTTTTCGTGAACAATAATAAATTGGCTGTAGATTTATCAAATACATACCAATAAATTTATACCTACCATAAATAAAGAAATATTTAACTTCAAAGTTTGGAACTGCGATTGTACACATAGCTAGCAGGTATAAAGTTGTGCGACTAACGCACAGACATATGTACACATAGCTAGCAGGTATAACGTTGTGCGACTAACGCACAGACATAATTGCGTCATACGCATGCGCGGACGTAATGATCATAGATCAAATGCAAATTTAATTTTTTATTATTCTTACCGTATTCTTTGATACCAGTCGTATTAGAATTATATATTCTTGATGCACAAATTACGCGCAACCCAATGGAGTCGTCAGAATTTATAAATTTCCGATATCTTCCAAGAAAATGACAGTCAAAGTTTTTCCAGCACCCGACTATGAATATTAAATATTAACTCGAATAATAGTTGCACAAATTATTTGATCGGGGGTTCTTGGCGCGCAGCTTATGCACAAATTGGTGAATATTTTCTAAATAATTATTTCCATACCCGGGTGTCCAGTTCACACAGCTGTCGTATAGGTAGTATATGCTCGAAGCATTCGAAGGCTAGTGGCCGCGTTTCGGCGCATGCGCACGCGCATAGTAGCTCTGAATTTCTGGCTTCCGGAATATACTAGATTCACATCTTTATATTCTGATCCACGTGCACCGCTGGATCGTGCTCTAGCTTTATTTGTCTTAAGTGGCTTTTATAAAGAATGAAGTGATTGCGTTTTTCGCATAAAGTATTTATTTAGTTCGGCGTGGTGAAAACGCGTTATATATATTAAAAGAGGCAGCTCCGCTACTTTACTATTAGTAAAATTTCATTGCTGCGTGTGGTGCTATAATTTTACAAAAGTAAATTCAAAGTGTCTCTTTATCTCCGAAATTATTTGCAAAAGCAATATGGCAGATAGTAAGGAGAGTAATAGGAATATTAAGCTAGCTTACATAAAATATTTGGATGGTGTCAAGAGAGGTGTAATGGATATAATTAAAACAGATCAAATCCTTGGCCGTTATACTTCTGATTCATCATGCATTTTTGATAAAACTAAGAGATATAAATTGAAAGATCCTACTAAACTACCAGAGAATTCACCCAGGATTCAACTTTTGTGTATAGCTGGTGAGTTTAAGACATCATTTTTTTCTACTGAAAACTTTATAAACATTTATCAGCTTGTTCAATAATCTGAATATTGTTTTCCTATAGAAAATAAAGATGACTTGAAGAAACAGATTGATACTATAAGGATTCCATCGTGTAAGAATTTAGTCTCAGCATCGGAGGAAAGTGCCAAGAAACAGCTCGGTCAATTGCATCTACCAGTTCTCAAAAGTCGAGTACTAATATGTTTAAGGTATTTAAATCAAAACTATGTACAATAAGTAGTTTTTATTTAAGTGAGTGTGCAGGCACATACGACAAAAACCTATTGTGAATTATAATTTGATAATACATTTTGAATATAATTAGACCAGTATACTCTGCTATAAAAATAATATAAGAATACTATAAAAAAAATATTTCTACTCGTTAAAAAATTTTTCAAAACTTAATCCCATTTCTACTGAAATGTTGTTTTGGTAATTTTGCATGTAATTTTTGTTGTTTAACTCTACAATCTCTACATTCTACTTCTATATTTTTCAGTCATTTTCATTCTTTTACATGTATTCTAATTTTTATACGTACTTTCATGAAATAGCTGAAACAATCATCAGAATATTCAAAAATCTTAAAAGCCAGGCAAGAAGAGAAGGAATTACAAAAGAGAAAATTACAGGTATACACACACACATATATATGTCTTACATCAGCTCTATTAAATTTGTTATATTTGTCAATATTAATATAACTAACCTCTTTAATAATCATTTATTATTTATAAAAATTGCAGGGTCAAAGTGATAAACGAAAAACCAAATCAGTGAAACTGAGTGATCACCAGACTGCGTCTTCTCAATTTCAAGGTAACTTGAATGATTCTTTTCCAGCAGAAGACCATCAAGGAAAAGAAACTCATGATGTCACTGATGAACCAATTTTGGAACAGAAGGTAAATATTATAATATTTTTAATATAGAAGTATTAATAATCATAAGAGTTTATTAAATGATTCATGCGTATAATGTTAGATAATGAATTATTTATCTTTAATAATTACCTGCCTATTCCAAGTTTTTGCTACACACACACACAAGTATAAGCTAACATACGTATATCCTATATATTTATAAAAAATTGTAGGATTTGAATCAAGAAAAAAACGAAACGGCCATGATATTGAGTCGCCAGCCTTCTTCTTTTGCTCAAGTTGAAAACGAAACTGATTCCTTCTCAGGAGGAGAGCATGAAAAAGATAAAATACGTTTTGAAGATATAAATACCCTATTAGGAAGCGTTGAAAAGAAGGTAAACTTTATAATATTTCTAATTCCATTGAAATAGAGTTATTAAATATGAATTAAATATACCTAGTATGTATTAAAATGTATATTTATTAATGTACTTTTATCATTTTTTAAAATTGTTTGTATTTTTAAAATGTTCTGTAAACACGTTATGTACGCGTAAGCAAATTCATTTATATGTATATTAAATTAAAACAACATTTATAAAAACAGGTTGAGCCCCATGAACCTTTTTTTGATGAAAAAGAAAGTCATAAAAATGTAGGTACTAACGAGGATGATGAAAAGCATGAATTGACTGGTGAATCAAGCACTTTAGTAAAGAAGGCATGTATCAGCACAAGAATATTTTTAATTGAATTTAAAATACATAAATATAGACAGTATATATTGAAATCTAAATATTGATTTAGGATAATCATCCAGAAAGTGGTGGACGCAAACCGAGAATTATCGACGTAAGTTCCAATGAATATAGATATATTCCTATAATTTCTAATAGCTTTTAATACTTTTTAAGTACTTTTGATAGATCTTAATCATATTTTATATGCAATGACTTCAGATTCTATATGAAACAATAACAATATTTTTTAATCCATAGAATCGTTGCCTTGACTCACTCAAACAAAATAACTTATTGAAAAAAAAAGAAAAACAGATTTCTGAATTAAAACAGGAACTTGGAAATGTAGATCGTAAGTATCGGAATTTAAAAAATGACTACAAAGAAGTTAAACAGGAAAACAAAGAGTTGAGAGATAGAAACCTTAAACTACAAGATAACATTAGTCATGATATTATGAAGCTTGGAGGTAATGTATAAAATACGAATAACAATTTAAAATGCTTGCTTGCTTCTTGTGTCCCGTTATATTACATTAAAATTAGTCGTCATATAATACTAGGATAAGTATTAAAAACTAATGATGCCAAAATTTCAGTTGAAGGCCTTTTGCAAATACTGGAATTTCCAGTCTGTTCGCTTGATACAGCAATTTTGTAAGACTTATACCATTTTATATTGAGTGATAGCTGATGATTTATGTTTTCTGATTAGTAGTAGTTGCAAGTGTTTGTGTCCTTTTAGTTAAGTTAAATGTGATTAATTTAGATATGTGTATTTGTGTGTGCTACATACTCGTTTTTCTAGTAACATGAACAGTTATTAATTATCTTAATAATTTTCTAGTATTGGTGGACCAACAGAATAAAATTTGTGCTTCCAGCAGTAATATTGTTGACCCAAAACTTAAAAGTGTACCCATTGGATTTATTGAACAGGATGGTAGTGTGAGTATAATTATTCCACCAAATTTTCCTCGTATACACTGTTGCTCCATTATTTTTAATTAATATCATAAATTTGTACAGGTTCATATGGGTCAAAATAAATATTTGCCCGCCAGCATTAATGATACTGTCGTATCATCATTGAGTCCTGCAACTTTCGTAGGAAACCTCCTAGTTGCAGTATTTGGGCCCACTGCTTTAATGAAAAGTAGTCTCACAGGTAGAGTCAGCAACAGAAGAATTGGCAAAATAAAGAAAAATAAAGAACAAGATAAAGAAAATGAAAATGAGCACGGCGAAAATGACTTGCCCCAAGCTGAAAAATTAGAAAAGTTGGGTCCTAAACAACTGCTGGCTTGTCAAGGTAGATTTGAATCAATGATATTTGCAAAATACATGTTACAATTACTTAACAATATAGTAGGTAAACTAGAGGGGCATCAACTCAGAGGGGTACTAGCTCACTGAGTTGAAGCGTGTGAGTTGAGGTGTGTGCATATTCACCTCATCCCCCCCCCCCTCCCGATCGGCCCGTGCACTGTCGATTCACCCCCCCCCCCCCCTCCTACTGAGTTATACCGATGCGTTCTACGCACTCCCCCTCCCCTACTGAGTTGATCTGATGTGGCGTATACCGGTGCGTTCTACGCACTCCCCCCTCCCCTACTGAGTTGATCTGATGTGGCGTATACCGGTGCGTTCTACGCACTCCCCCTCCCCTACTGAGTTGATCTGATGTGGCTTGATCTGATGTGGCGTGCGTTCTCTGCATTTCCCCCTCTCCCACTGATTTGATTCCTATGCACTACGCGCGTGTTCTGTGTTACGCGTTTTGATTGTTTTATTGTGTGTGTGTGTGTGTGTGTGTGTGTGTGTGTGTGTGTGCGCGCGTGTGCGCGCGTGTGTTAAAAATTTTTAGATTTATCTGAAAAAAAAAAACGGACGGATCGGGGGATCGAACGCGCGTCCTCCGGATCCGCAGGCCGATGCTCTACCGCTAGAGCTACAGCCACTGTTACCACGGGCAATACCGTATTGTGTATACTGGCTACACACGCGATTGATATGTGGGGGGGGCGGCGGCGCCGGCGGCTGCTGCTGCTGCTGCTGGGGAGGGCCCAAGCGCTAATACAATAAATTTTAATAAATGTTATAAATAGATATTTATTATATAGATATATTATTAATAATTATTTATAAGAAAAGACATTGTTATTAATAATTATTTATTATATAACAAAATATAAAAAATCTACAAAAAATACAAAAAATGTACAAAAAAATACAAAAAAATGTACAAAAATGTATAAAAAACTAACGCCTAGTTTTCGCCATCATCATTATCATCGGCGGCGTCGTCGTCGTCGGCGTCGTCGTCGTCGTCGTCGTCGTCGTCGTCGGCGTCGTTGTCGTCGTCGTCGTCGTCGTCGTCGCCGTCGTCGCCGTCGGCGTCGTTGTCGTCGTCGTCGTCGTCGTCGTCGCCGTCGTCGCCGTCGGCGTCGTTGTCGTCGTCGTCGTCGTCGTCGTCGCCGTCGTCGCCGTCGTCGTCGCCGTCGTCGTCGTCGGCGTCGTCGTCGTCAGCGGTGAAAAATTTTGCTATTTTGTACCGCGGGGCGCCGTCGACGGTTTCGTCCGTGACGCGCAGGCGCTTTTTCCCCGCGATGCGGAGACTCTGCATGAGCGCCGTTGTGGATAATTCCGCGGGCGATCTAGAAAGCTGCCTACTCAACGGAGCTGGCGACGGCGACCGAGAAGGCTGGCGCACAGCGGGGGAATCTTCGGGACTGCTCGACCGTGATGCGAATAATCTTCGCACCACCTGTCTGACCGGCCCGTTCCGATCGACGTGCCGCCTGCTGCCGCGCTGCGGTGGTGATTCCACCCACTGCGGCTGCCGACTGCAGCGACCAGCGACGCAGTGTGCGCACTCCCAGCCCCCGCATACTGGCATGGTGTTGTTGTGATCGCCGACCTGCAACAAAAAAATGAAAAAAAAACTTAGAACATACTACTGCCGATTAAAAAAAAAGAAAAGAGAAAAAAAGAATCATACCTGTTCTCGTTGGCGGCAGGACGTCTCTTGTATCGCTGGTGGTGAAACTAAGTTCACCAAGAGCGGCTGTTGTGGCGTTGTGATGTCGATCATCATCACGGGTGCTCCTCGAGGCGTCACCAGGTCGACGCATGTCACGCGTCGTGATGGTGGTGGTGGTGGTGGTCGACGCGAGACAATCACAGACCATCTCCACGTCGTCGTCGTCGTCATCAGACCTGCAAAAAAAAAAAAAAAAAAAAAAAAAAAAAAAAAAAAAAAAAAAAGATTCTTTATTTTGAAAAAAAATCGTTTCATATATCTATCTGTATAATAAATATTCAACTTACACATTCACCGTTGAAGATGATCGGGAGCATGGAGACGGTGGCGGTAATTGGAGTGGCGCTGTCCGATGCGTGCTGTAATCGGAAACACTTATATTTATATTATGCCGATAACGCGACTACGACGACGAAAACCGGACATCGCAAAATAAGAAATTTTAAGTACGCGAGAGAAAAGAATGTTAAATTTAAAATTGGAGTATATACTCTCTCTCATATACACACGTACATACATATTATATAACGAATAATACTTTTACATTAATAAATTGATAAATTATCTATATAAAATTTTATCAATTTATTAATACAATATTATTAGATATATAATTGTGTTATTAGTATACAGAAAAAAAAGAACAGAACCTCTTTTTTTAATTTAAGAACATATATGCTCTTATTATTTTTAAAAAAATTTATGTATAAAAAAGAACAGAACCTCTTTTTTTTAATTTAAGAACATATATGCTCTTATTATTTTAAAAAAATTTATGTATAACTAATAACATTTTATTAGTATAATGGTATTAATTATAAAAAAACAGAATGAGAGAGAGAGGGTAAAAGAGAATGAAAAAAATGTACTTACAATATTGAAGGTGGAGGTGTCAGCGGCATCCGAATGGTTGCCGCTTCGTGGATGTCGTCGTCGTCGTTCCTCCTCCTCGGCGAAGGTGTTCGCGGCTGCTCGACGACGACTTCGTCCACCGCTGCTTCTTGCACCGGTAAACCGATCAATCCGAAGACTTCATCTTCGGAAAGATCGATGTCCTCGCCCAACGCCTCGATCGCTTCATTAAGTGCGTCTTGCCACGACGCATCGTCCAAGGAAAACAAATTTTCCACCCGTTCTTCACTCATTTTACTAAACACTTCACAACTCCACGACAAAAAAATCACAATGACGTATCGTTGCAAGGCGTTCGAATTTTTATTCATCTTTTGAAACACTAGCCGCGTTTCGGTCATTGGTCGAAGATTTGGGAGTAGGGATGCGAGATACGCGACAGCACTGATTTTGTCGCACGCATAAGACAATCATAATTAGTGGTGGGAGTAGCTAATGAAAATGTGATTAGTGCGGAGAAGAGACGCCAATGTGTATTAATATAGGATCGCGATAGCGCGTACGCTCTTTATTTCTCACGCAACGGACGAAGAGTAGGTGGTGGCAAGCCGTTGGCAGTGACAAGTTGCAGCGAACGAACGATCGGCCCTTTTCTGGGCCACTTTTTTTTTTTTTTTTTCAAGTTGACGAAGCTGTACAATCCCGACAGTTAATCGATATCATGATCAATTTAAAACAGCACTTTTCAGTGCTAAATTTTCAATAAAAAAATTTATATTATTTTTTTATAAAGCAGCACTTTTCAGTGCTATTCAAACGTATGGTTAAATATAACATAGACTAACTATTTGTTTAATAAAAAAACTTATATAATTTTTTTAAAAAATCAGCACTTTTAAGTGCTATTCAAACGTATGTGCAAATATATCGTAGCCGCAAAGGTAAGTACTAAAACAATAACAATTTGAAATTACGAATAAATTCAACCTTGTGTTTTTCTTTATTCTTACCCCCACCCCTCCCATTTTCAGCGAAACAAGCAGGTAAGTATAAGGTAAGTATTTTTTCCCTTTTCTGGGCCACTTTTTTTTGCAGTGCTAAATTTTCAATAAAAAAAATTTATATTATTTTTCTATAAATCAGCACTTTTAAGTGCTATTCAAACGTATGTGCAAATATATCAGTGCTAAATTTTCAATAAAAAAAAATTTATATTATTTTTTTATAAATCAGCACTTTTCAGTGCTATTCAAACGTATGGTTAAATATAACATAGACTAACTATTTGTTTAATAAAAAAAACTTATATAATTTTTTTTTAAAATCAGCACTTTTAAGTGCTATTCAAACGTATGTGCAAATATATCGTAGCCGCAAAGGTAAGTACTAAAACAATAACAATTTGAAATTACGAATAAATTCAACCTTGTGTTTTTCTTTATTCTTACCCCCCCCCCCCCCCCCCAATTTTCAGCGAAACGAGCAGGTAAGTATAAGGTAAGTATTTTTTTAATTAGTTAAAAAATATACACAATAAAAATAGTTCGTTTAATTCAGTGTACAAAATAATACTAAAAAAAAACGATAATTTTTTTTTCCTAAATCATAAAATAATATACAGTTAGTATGCACTATTTTTAGAAAGAGCGACAATAACTCAGACGGTAGAGCACTGTCGTATAGATGCAAAGGAGGCTAGGTTCGATTCTCCTGTATATCTATTACCGAAAGATTATTACGAGAAAAAAAATTCGATAAATAATTAAAAATAATTAAAATATCGTTATTAAAAATAACAACAACAAAAAAAAAATGTCTCTAAAAATCAGTGCGTATATGCGACAGTTTTAATATTACCGAAAGATTATTACGAGAAAAAATTCGATAAATAATATTACTAATTTTTTCTTATAGCGTATTAGATGTAGACAATTAATTATTTATATGTAAATTGTCAACAATTAAATTCAACAGAAAGGATAGGTAATTTCTTCTCAATTAAAAATAATTAAAATATCGTTATTAAAAATCAGTGCGTATATGCGACAGTTTTAAATGACGTCACTCGCATAGGCCGTTGAGTCAATTCCCCACAAGTTGTATGCTTTACATACGCATACGCGTGCGCACGTGTATGTATAACTCATAAAAATTAAATGAATTTTTTTATGCAATGTATGGCATGTATGGAATGAATGGAATGTATGGCACGTATGGCATGTATGGAATTTTTTAATGGAGGATGGAAGGGGAAATCTCAATCGTTCGTTATAAAAATGAGCTGCATCTCATCAGCAGTTGCATTCGCATCCAGAGTAAACTAGTGTAAAGTGTGAAAGAAGAAAGGTTATACGAACATTCTACAATGAGCTCCAACAAGATTGACTATAGGTAATTATTTGTTTTATTGTTTATAGAACACACTTTATATATTTTTTTTTAAATTTTTTTATTTGTGCAGATTTGAGCAAGCGAGGCTGGATAGC